GCAAAGAGCAATATTAGTTGAGCATTGCTTACTAGAATGACGTTATTGCAAAAGTATTTCTTTAATTCCCATATATTATGGTATCATATGCTATAGTAGATAAGAATACTGAATATAAAGCATGTATACAGCATGTAAATTGAAGATGTTCATATACATATGTGTGTATATATATCTATATGGTCCTACTTGCTGGCAACATTTCTAACAATAACTGCATTAACACGTTAAAAAAGCAAAATGAAGTAAGTATAGGCACTTGCAGTTTATAGGTATGCTTCTGAAGAAACACAGGTCAAAAGTAGTGCTCATCAATTGGGAATGATTCTCAGTCTCTGTTAGCCAGGTCCTACTTGGTTTTCACGAAGAATGAAATGGACATCCAGATGTTAATACTGAAGTAACAGTGTTGGGCTCTGATCCAAATTGCATTTAAGTTAGAAGGAGACTTTCCATTAAATTCAGTAGTCTAAGGATCAGGCCCTCAGAGTACCACCTTGTTAAAACATGCCCTTGCTTTACTTTCAATCACACGGCTGTTGCTTCTGTTCCAACAGGAGTGGGGTTAGAAGATCCAATGATAGCCAGAAGGCAGCCACAAGTTAGAAAGGGAATCAAAACCCATGTGTAGATTTCAACAGCCGTTTGGTTACCCAGATCTATAGGTGAGGGTTTAAAGTGCAACTATAGACTTTTCAAAGTGGAAGTAAAATGATATCCCAAAGGAAGCCACGGAGATGCCAGGCTGGCATCACTAGACTGTTGCTGTTTTCTGTGACACCGCTTAGGTTGAGCAGGAAGTTTGTACCAAAAATCATTTCTCAACTGTAGGAGTGGGTTGGATGTTTTGGGATGAGGGAAATCCCAGTGCCACTTTCCTCTAAGGAACTGACAACCCCCTGTGCCTGAATTCAGTCTGTGATAAGAAGGACTATTAGTCCCAGGGCAGTTCTCCTCAGGAAAGAATAGCACAACTGGATGAGCAATGCTTAACCCCTTAACCTAATCTAATTCTTTAATTTGGCAGTTATGTATAAGGAGTTTTGGCACACAATAGGGGAGTAGAAGGTGGATGGGAAAGTTCGCTTTGCTCTAGAATAGGAAGGAAAGGCATGAGTTTGGTGAAAACTGGGGGGAAGAGTAGAATAGTTTTGTAGACTGAGGGCGATGCACCAGTACTTTTAATTAATATAATTATATTCATTATCATAAGAGTTATAGTACTGTTTATTTTGTTTCCTTTTTTCCCCTATTTCTCTTCTACTTTCATTCTCTTTCTGTTGGGATTTCAAAATGTTCTTCCCCCTTTTTCTTCATGTTTCAGTAAAACAATAGATTCTCATGAAAAGAAAAAGGTGGTTTTGTGTTGTGCCTAAACGGCAGTCAAACATTTTCGGTAGCATTCCATTGCCTTGGCCTAACCTACCTTGTCTTCACATTCTGATTATTTTTTTTTAATTTAGGCAACAGTATTAGATGATGATGTGAGATGGAGAGGCAGGTCCATAAGAAACCCTACTCCTAGCCTATGAAGAACTTGAAAAATTTAGAATAAGGTTTTGACCTGAACTGCAGAACAAGTAGAAGCCACTCAAAGAGCATAAAGGACTGTCAAGAAAAGCTAGTTCGTGGTCCTAGTGTATATTCACTAATATATGTGTACAATACCACTTCCTACCATTAACTAAATATAATATTCTGTCACCCTCTAGTGGTGGGTCTACAACACCATACTTCTGATAGTACTGATAAAAGATTTTCTCACTGCATGTCTAGTAGAAGACCTTGTCGCATGTAGGAGAAACTAGGCTTCAATGTTTGATGTTCTGTGCATACAGATTTGTAATTTTGGTCTCCACTGCATATATATGTAAATGAATTGTATCCTATAATTCATGCCAAAAATGAGACATGTAAATTGTCTGTGTTGGTTTTGGGCAGATTAATTAACTAAAGAGTTTTTTGTTGTTTGGGGGTTTTTTTTAATTATTTCTGTACTCTTCTCCTTTGATAAATTGACTGAATTCCAACATGCAAAGTCAGGGAACATGACTGTGCACTTGAAGCCCATATTGGCTAACCAAATCACTTCTTTCTTAATTCCTAGTTTTACCCATAATAAAAGTCCTTGTCTAAGACTGTCTGATGCTCTACTGGACAAGTGCAATGCCCATTCAAATCTGTGAAAGCAGTAATTGTGCCTGAAATAATAGTGTGACCTATGCATCATACGGACCTCTTGGTATATTTGACAATAAAGCAACATAACAAAGCCAAAATATTTGGCATCACCTATTCCATTAGCTTCAGCAACACTTACAAAATCTGGGTTTCTGACCCAGCCTTAGAAAAAGCTGAAAGTGCAGTATGCTAGAGAACAGCATTTAATGGGTTCATTTATCAAGATTCCCAGTAACTGATAATATTGATGTGTTTTACACTGATATTGGACAATTTGGCTTCAGATCACATATGATTTAAAGCGTCCTAAGTAACAGCAAAATACTTGGTTTGAAATGGAAGGGTCATGCTTTTCACTGGATCAGGAGGTAGTGAAACATACAGAAAGCTGATTGATAGCTTGAGACAGCTGGAACAGTCCCTTTTGATCACTTTGCAGACGCTCTTCTCAGACGTAAAGCAAGTGTTATTCGTCTCTGGCCAGAGACTGTACAATTCCTCTTAACATAATTTGGTATTTCAAGTATTAAATGATACTAAGTATCCGATATCTCTGTAATATTATCAGTATGGGCCATGCATTCACCACTTATGTGTGAACTCAGAATTACCAAATAATTAAAATGGTTCACTGTATCTTTGTTAAAGAGGTGTATGGCAGCATCTTCGTAGTCACAAATGAAATGTAGGTATATATCAGCATGTCACAAATAGTGCCGCAAAGGCTTTTTGATACCTCCTCACCAGGAGGAATTGTTTAACCGATCTGCCTTTAGACACTTCAGGAGCAATTATCCCTTCTCGGACCAGATGGAGCCTTCCAGCTACATCATGGAAAGGCAAGGTGTTTTCATGAGGGGACGATGCACTCAGTAAAACTTCCAGTGTCTCAAGAAAGAACCCAGCATACACCTCCTGTAATGTGTAAAGAGCCCGGGACACTCAAGAGGAGGGTCCTGACCATGCTGCTAATTAGTAAACCTTTTGAATCTCTGAAATTTCAGCAAACCTGCCAGTCTTTGCTCCCACGCTCACAAAAGTATCCTGCAAATACAACTGGGAAGAGAGGGGGAAAATATTTCTCACGTCGTCATGAACATTAGTTCAGTGTTTTGAAAACAATACCAAGAAACTGGCAGATTTTGCACCTACCTTCAGGTTTTATCATTTACTATCTGTGGGTTTTTATGTCTGTATCTGAATCCTGCAAACACGCATATGATACACATTGCACATGTGTACATCCACATGTGAGCAGAGCTAGGCAGATCCACAGAGGCAGAGATTTACATTCATTTTATCATATTCATTTAATTTCCCTTAGTTTACTGGAGAAAATGAGGTTTTTTTGCTAATGGAACTGCAGTTATACTTAGGGAAAATGAAGTTATCTTCCTCATCTTTATCATCGCATATAATGAAGCAATTTCAGTAATGCACGTGTCAGCGGATTGTTGGTGATGGTACATCCTTCAGAAAGAATACAAATAGACTTCACTGACCCTGGAGTGCTGAGAGTAACATGATACTTACTCTGACTTGTAAACTGAGCAAACATGACATGGAGGTCACAGAATAAGGGCATATATGCATCTTTCAGCCCTTGTTTTGACAAAGTGACTTCTTTCTCCAGAGGGACATTTCTGCCATTTTTTTCCAGCATGTTTCACCTTTCACTGGCTATTAATCCCAGTATGACTTAACTGCAAATTATGATTCCCACCTATAAGCTTATGGGATTTAATTCTTAATTTTTTTTCGTCATTTATTTGAGCACACAGAGTTAGCACTCAGAAGATCTAAGAAAATAAGGGTATGGAAAACAACTTAACAAACTGAGTTTAAATCAAATGTAACAAGTTATAAATATTAGAACAAAGAGTACTATTAAAATTCACATTCATTAATGGAAATTTTTTATTATTAGCAGCTTTAAGAAATCAGGGTAGACCATAACATTTTTGAAAATCTGTGCATTTTCTAATATTCTATGCAGTATTCTTCCAGCTTTAGTAAGATATCTTCCCTGTGTCTGATTCAGTCTAACATTTATATAGACATCAGTTTTAAACAGAATTTCCAGAACTTTATGAACTGGGTTAACAAAGGAAGTTTTGCTAAAAGTGACATTATTCAGAATATTCTTATTTTTCTGAATGCATGGTTCATGAAATGTTTGATACAGGTGTGGATAGCATCCCAGCACAGAATACTTCAAAGTAAAGGTATCAGCACAGCAACTAGCGTATTTATTCAATGCAGTAGAACAACTGTGGATGGGGTTAAGCCTCTTCATCATGTTAGCTAACTGATAAAGCACTATTAGCAGTTATCAACGTGTATGGTAAAGGACATTGAAATTCTTCTCCCTGGTTTGCAGATGGGAAAATGGGACATGTCAAAGATCACTGCAGACTTTTGCTGGAACCCACCCTCCTGAATCTGTTTTCAACTAGGCCATCAAATTTTATGATGATAGTAATGGCTGCTTATGTGAACAAATGTGACAGGCTTGGTTGTCTTTGTTGTGTAGGTTATTAGGTCAGTGATGCCAGTTCCAAGTTTGGAAAAAACAAAATGTCAGCCTAGGCCAGGAAGCAGAGGGGCGAAATTCTTTTTTTACAATGCTGAAGAGAAATGTGTAAGGTAATAGGGATTAATTATTTGTCTAGTGTAATAACCAAACTCCATGTCAAGGACGATTGGATGGTCCAGATTTGTGTTTTCCCATAGTGAGACTCTTAAAGAGACTTCAGGGGGGAGAACAACAGCAGTTTGTAGCTTCTAAGTATTGTCTGGTTTTTGTTTTTTCTCAACAGAGCTACAGTGAACCTGTTGATGTTAAAGCCTCCCCGCAACCTCAGATGATGAATTCAAAGCAGTCGGTGTTTCATGGGCCTGCCCAGGCTCACTCTGCACTGTACCTCAGTTCCCACTACCACCAACAACCAGGAATGAATCCTCACATCACTGCCATGCATGCCAATATCCCCAGGAACATAGCGCCCAAGCCCAACAACCAAATGCCAGTGACTGTTTCCATAGCAAACATGGCTGGGGCCCCACCGCCACCTGATCAGCCCCCCTCTGCACCAGCATCTCAACATCCAGCAACACCAGCCGATTTCAATGCAGCAGTCCATTGGAAACCAGTTACCCATGCAGGTCCAGTCTGCTTTACATTCACCTACAATGCAGCAAGTAAGTTTGAGCTTTTCAGTTGTCTGGGGAAATGGTTTTTTTTTGAGAAAAAAAAAAAGTCATCCAGAATTTGACATAGTGAGGGAGATGTAGAGCCATGGATTAGCTTTAATTTTGCAGAGTTCCAAAACTGTGGTAGTATAGTCTGAGGACTTAGTCTTTCAAAGGTAAGAGCAAATGAATGAATTTACCTAGATGATGGGGAACCTCGGTGGAACTGTTTGTGCTAGCAACGATGTTCATCACATTCTTCTGAACACTAGCCCTGTCTCCCCCACAAATTCAGGAGGCATCCTTTAAATAGAAGTGTGTCCGTAGAGCCATCTACAAATCTGGGAGTACCCTGAAATATAAGTGAAATGTTAAGTCTTCGGGAGACATATTTTACAAACAAAAGGCAGGCACGTCTAGAAAAAGTTATGATTGTAGCATGTGCTGTTATCCTTGTGCTGACTGTGACGTGGAACAATCAGAGGCACCATGAAGCAACACAGGTTGTGTTAAACATGCTAGATTAAGTGAACATGAGTATGTTAGTTTATGCTGCATTCATAACTTCATTTTGCTAGATAGACATACCTTTTTTTTACTGGAAATAAGTGGGCTGTCCCCAGTATCCCAATATGGTGGCTTTTTTTTTTCATTCTCAGTGTTCTAGATAGTTGATTCTCAAAACATTTCCTCGGAGTTCTGAATAAATGTAGGCCAACCATAGTATTGTGACTTTTGGGCCCGGACCTATGGAGGGTTAGAGCAGATTAACTCTGCTGATTTCATGAGAGAAAATTTCCTTTTGTATTGGATGAGGTCTGACTATCAATAATAAGATCTTGTTTTGCAAAGAAGCATTAGAATGAAAATTTTTTTGGATGGAATTGAAAGAAAATACAAAATTTGTATACACAAAACTTGTCAGTTCTGGTTGATAATACATAGTCATGAACTTGCTGCATGTTTTGAATATCTCTATATAAATTCACCTTTGCTAACAAGGCATTTGCATTTGCTTTCCAAGCCAGAAACATTTCATCCCAAGATTGGTCTTTAGAGAGGGGAAAACCCAAACACAAAACATAGCTTCCAGCTGGGAGAACAATTTAACAGGGAAAGAAATTTTCCAAAGCAGGACAAAAAAAAAGAAGAGTTGAAAGCAATCCGGACTGATAAATTTAGTTGTTCAGAAGGTAAACCAAGGTGTGCTCAGGATGATCTGGATTTTTTCAGAGCCTTTGATCTTAGTCTCAAGAGTGATTTGGAGTAATCAGACAGGAAGGAAAATTTCCTTTTGTATTGGATGAGGTCTGACTATCAATAATAAGATCTTGTTTTGCAAAGAAGCATTAGAATGAAAATTTTTTTGGATGGAATTGAAAGAATCTACAAAATTTGTATACACAAAACTTGTCAGTTCTGGTTGATAATACATAGTCATGAACTTGCTGCATGTTTTGAATATCTCTATATAAATTCACCTTTGCTAACAAGGCATTTGCATTTGCTTTCCAAGCCAGAAACATTTCATCCCAAGATTGGTCTTTAGAGAGGGGAAAACCCAAACACAAAACATAGCTTCCAGCTGGGAGAACAATTTAACAGGGAAAGAAATTTTCCAAAGCAGGACAAAAAAAAAGAAGAGTTGAAAGCAATCCGGACTGATAAATTTAGTTGTTCAGAAGGTAAACCAAGGTGTGCTCAGGATGATCTGGATTTTTTCAGAGCCTTTGATCTTAGTCTCAAGAGTGATTTGGAGTAATCAGACAGGAAGGAAAGTTTGTGAAGTGTTTACAACTTCTTCCTAGCCCAGTTTATTTTTCACGATCAGAGTAAACAGACTCAACAGACTTATGACCCCACAAATGTGGAGTCTTTTACTGCCGTGTATTCCTGAAGATTTTCCTATTAGTTAGAAACCCAGTATCCTGGTGTGAGTGTCCTGGGAGAGCCCATATCAAGTCTCAGAGAAACTCAGGAGTTAACCCCAAGCCTGAGCAGCAAGAATTAGCTACAGGAAGTCCTAGACAGGTGAGCCAGGAGGGTCTGTCTGGAGATCCTAAGCCTGATGCAATCCTGGTTGAACCTGAAGGCTCAGAGCAATGAGAGACAAAGCAATGGACAGAGACTCAATGCAATAGCCTGGTTCATTTACCAAACACGAAAAACAACATCTGTGACAGCAGCCTGTTGGGATTGTATAGTTATATTTCAGCGAGTTTTTATTGCAAAGTGATTCAGTCTTCCAAGTTCAGATTGTTTGCCAGGTTCAGTGTCACTTGTACGTTACTTGTCTAATGCAGAGCTACAGAAGATCAAACCCCTTATGTCTTTTCCAGAATCATTGATAGGCATAATTTACTGAACAGATTTGAAAATCCGTCTTTATTTATTGAATTAACAGTACAGTAGGGGCTAGCAAAAGATGTAATGCAGATGTTAGATACTTACATATGTATACATACAACATCATCATTATTGTATGAATCCAAACATTTAGGCATTATTCCAAACGATTACATACTACAAAAAGGGTAGGATAATATGAATCTTCTGATGTTTTATTTTACCAAGTTGCACGCTTGTAGCATATGGTGTGTGCGTCAATGGCTTGAGAGTACTTTCACTCATCTGTGAGATGTGTGTCATGCAGCTGAGTTATTTCTAGCTTGAGAGAAAACACAGGGCACTACGTTGTAGAAAACAGGTGTCTAGAAGTCAATATGTAGACCTATACCATAATGAGTCTTTTGCTTTACTAAGTATGAGTACAGTAAAGTAAAAAATGCTGTACCTCTGTGTTCCTGCTTTCCATTGTTAAACTCATGAAAGGTTAGCTTAAATACTTTTTACCAACTCATATTCCTTAGTCAGAAAGGCTGATGCTTAAAATGAAGATACTATGGTGAGATATTTCTGAGCTTCACTAAAGGTGACAGGTGCTTATTACCTGTTGAAATGCTACGCTGCCAATCTTAACTACATTTCTCTTTAAGCACTGTGGAACATCTACAAGCTGGTTTATATTTCTTACTCTCCTGCTTTTGTTTCAAAGCAATGCAACTTTTGAGCTCTGGAAAATCTATGTAATTTCACTTTGGAATATTTGTAATATTTTATTTATTTATTTATTTATTAGCACACAACAGCTTACAGTCTGTGAATTGAGTTTAAGTATAGAATCCATTTCATTAAAGAGTGATGTTGGCAAAGACAAAGCAAAAAGTATGTTAAATTTTAGGGTGACAGGTGTACTAACAACACCGTGATTTGCCATGCCAGAGCAGAACAGTGATATCCTGTCTAGTCTCTTATGTATGACTCTTTCTAGACATACTCAAGAAATGTTAGAAAACACTGTCCCCAGGATTTCGTGCTGCATTAGAACTCAGAGGACAGGCTGGCCAACGGGAGCCATGTAGCAAGAATTCAACTATAACTTGAAAGTAAAGGCCTCCTTGTGACTCAGTTGTCAAAATACTCTGCCTCCCCTTTGCTCGAAATTGAGCAATCACTCTGCTGATCACAGAGCATGCTAAGGAGGAAAAGACATAGTGGAAAAAAAATGAGCCCTCCAAACAATGACAGCAGTACAGAGTCAACAGCAATGAGGACAAAGAAGAAGCATAGCACCACCCTGTATGTCTGGCCCATGGTGAGGAGGGAAGGAGGACTCTGGATATGAGGTTCAGTCCCCAGCAGCATGGCGCAGACCACTCCGCTTCAAAAAAAGACAGCCAAGAAGAATGGGAGAATATGTAGTCTGATAAAGCAGAAGCAATAGTTGTTTCCTCTTTTCTCAGTTCCTCTTCCCTCAGCTGCTTGATTTCCTCCATGCTAAAGGTGTGGCCACCCTAAGCCTTTTCCAAAGACTTCAGCGGGCATCCAATTTATGTAAGGAGCAAGAACAGAAACTCATTAACATCCCGCTCCCTACAGCATGACTTGCAACAGGAGACATTTTCCTTTTCAGAAACATCACCACCACTCATACCAAACAGACTAATACACTTTAAGAAGTCATGTCACCCTGCAGTGTGAAGCTTAATAGGCGAGAGGGGTAAGTCTGCCAACAGCTTCCTAGCAGTCTTCTACCACAGGCATTCACAGACTCACCTGGATGGGCACCACCTTGCAGACAGACAGCTGTGCTGTAGACATGTTAGAAGCAGCAGTCACAGATCCCACCGATGGTGGGTGCTTATTTTTTTCCTTTTTTTCCCAACATCCAGCTTTGAAATAGTTCGTGGCTTACTAGTGTGACGCTCAACAGTGGCAGGCTCTGGGAATCCCTGCTCTCTACAGATCCCCTGCTTTAGCGCTGTGGCTCTGGGATATTTGGTCACTCATTTTCTCCAGGAGAACGAGAATAGTTTCTTATCAAAGACTGTCTTGCATTATGTCTGAAGGACTGCCAGCTCCAAGAAAAATCGCATAAAGATCCAGATTTCAGTCCTGGCAGCCAGGAACACAGTTCTCCAAAACCACTGTGCATGAAATCCACAAACTCTTCTGTGCGTAACTTCGAGGAGGGACGGATAAGAAGTGCTGACCTGGGGAGAGAGTTCTGCCCCCACTGCTGCCAGGACAATGAGCTGATCTTCATCAGCTCCGCAGGGAAGAGCACATCCTCCTCCACTTCCAGCAGCCCTTGCCTGCACACGTGCAGCTGCCAAACTGAGAGAGACTGCCAGCTGGAGAAGGGCAGTCTCCTCCAGGAGTCCACAAAAGCTACAGAACATCAAGAAGGTCAGAAGTGTTGATAGCCAAAAATCCTCAGTGACTGCACAATTTCTGTTATTTTTAAAATCAATTAATTCTGTGGAATATGCAGCTGATGCAATGCATCCAAATTATTCTGAAATGCACAAGGCAAAGTAAAATTTAGGTATTAGCATTTTGTTCATATCCTAGCATTAGTAAATATTTTTTAATTTCTTTTAAACAATCTTCTCTAGTTTGAGTTATCTAAATATTTTTTTAACTTCTGCAAAGTAAACTATTTTGTCTCTATTCCTTTCCGTTCCAAAACAGTTAATGAATAAATTATATAATGGGCACTACTGTAGACCTTTGGGGTGCTTGTTTACAGTGTTAATCCTTGACACTGTAAAAAATGACCATTTAGTTCTATTCTAATACTTAGATTTAAATTAGGTCCTGATTTTGATGATATTTAACTTCTAATTCTGAAATATACTATATTTTTCTTAAATATTATTAACAGGAGCCATGTTAAAGTCTTACTTTGCTAAAGTCTAAATCCACTGTGTAGCAGTTTTTCTTTCATCCACTTTTGACACATGGAAGAAACCCAGTAGATTAGAAGAGTGCGATTTTTCTTTCATTAAATGCTCATGTGAGCATCTCATCACTTTTTTTTTTTTTTTTAACTGGTACAGAGTTGCTTCTCTCCAGTCTGTTTCTTAGGTTTGACATGATGTTTAATTTTTACTTAGTTAGGGTCAGGTGATCTGAATCTTAACCCTTGTCATTCAAATCAGCACAATTTCTCCAAAGTTCAGGCTAAAACGGCGTCTGAAGCTGCAACCTGATTTATCTTGCAAAGTCGTTCTTTCCTTTCTCTACTCAGAGACTTGTGCTTCTTTCCGAGCATACCCCCCGCTCCAGCCTGTTGTACTGCGCTGTTTTGTGTGGAGAGTGATGAGACCAAGGATTCACTCCCTCCCAAATATGCCCAGTCCTTGTTAAGGAACCCTTTTAAGTAGCCCTACTGGAAGCATCTCCTTCCCGCTTAAAATCCTTCACCCAAGCATTGGGTGGATGGTGAGTCCCATTAAAATTTCTGTCCCACTTCGGTTCACAGGTAGAGCAAGCAAAACTTGATTCTTAATGTCTAGTAACCATGGCTGCAAGTGTATGCATAACAAAGAAGCAGAAGATTAATGTATGTCACATTTTGTTTTATTTTATTTTTTTTAAATAATAACTCATTTCAGTCTACTTTTAGGTATTTCTTTTCCTTTAGAAAATAAATGTATACAGCAAGATGATTGCATAGCCTGCCAAAAATAATAGCCTCATTTTTTCTGGTATATATTATATACAGTAAACTCAGGGACCTGCTGTATTTGTCCAGATTTCTCCCCCTTTTTTGTTATGCTTTGTCTTCGAATGAGGTCAAGAGAAAAAAAAAAAATCATTAATATCTGTCAACTTCCTTTATAACCTTAAGGAAAAATCTTTGTATGATATCACACAGACAGATTTTCAATTTCCTTGTGTAATAAACAGATGCTTTAGGATTTGGATGTAATTTAAAGGTTTAAAATATCACATTGAGATTGATGAATAAATCAGTTGTGAAGACAAAAACATTGATGCCTGTTGAAAATACCTCTCCAGACAGGCAGGAAATGAAATTAGTTCCCAGTAAAGTGTGGAGATGAGGATCACTGTTTAGTTCTGCTGCAGGCTTTTTAGGACTTGCTACAGTGGCACAACGAAACTGCTAGGGCTACAGAAATCTAATTAAAGAGCAAATGTCCCTCCTGACATCAAATTAATCTTTATCAAGTTCCCTATTTTTATTTCAATCTGGAACAAGAAAATGAAATTTAAAATTCTAGGCATGTTGCAAAACAGTTGGTGATTTTCTCTTGAGCATTACAATGCAAAAACATTCAACATTGTTTAATTAGACCTCGAAGCACTCATTTTCTGAGCACTTTTTATTTCATCATTGTTTGTTAAGGGCTTACATAAATAATACACAAATATTTACTACAAGCCTGGTACAAGGCTGTGTCCCTCTGTTGTACAGATCTATATTTCCGGAGTTTTTTCTGTTGATGAAAAAGCTGAAGTAATTATTGTTTACATTTTAAACATCACCGTACTTTATCAGTCCTTCATATTGAGTTCAGGTTTCTTAAATTACTTTGCCTTAACAAGCATGCTTTCCAACACCCACATTACTACTTTTGCTGCTGGTATTCCAGTAGCCCTCAACCAGGCTCAGTGCCGGCCGGTGCTGGGTGCTGCCTCTTGGCAGCGCTCAGACCACGTCTGCAGAGCCCGGAGCTGGCCCCTGCCCACGGGTGTGCCCGTATGGCCCGCGGGTCAGTCTGCTTCTGGAGCTGGAGCCTGCCTCAGATACTTCTGCACCGCGTTAACATTTGTCACATGAGCACATCCTAAGAAACAGGCCCCAATCCCAGGCAGTTACAAACTAAACAGACTTGCCAGGTGCAAGATGAAAGTGTTGTTACCCTTTATTTTGCAGATAGGAGAGTTAAGTTCGGATTCGTGGTCCCAACCTCAACATAAGAGGTATCAATTCAGTCCAAGCGCAAATGCACGCATGCTTCGCTGGAAGAAAGCCAAAGCAATCTGGCTGTGGTCACACAGAAAACCTGAGGAAATATGAGAATAAGTCCCCACCCAGTTCCAAGCTGGCATTTAAACCACAGGACCATCCTCCTGTATCTAAGCTATTTATTTGTCCTAAGTCCAGAAGAAATGGAACAGATATTGCACTGATGGTCTCTTCCTCTTATTTGGGGAACTGTCTCTTCTTGCTGCATGAGTCCTTGAGTCCCTGTGCCTGCTCACTTGCATGCTTCGCTAAAGCACTGCTGGAGCTACTGGCCCCATATAGTGTTTTTGTTGTATATATGATTGTTTCATGAAGATGGGTAAGAGAAAGCTCAGGGGCTTTGCTGCCAAAGGTAAACCTGAGTGCCTAAGGGTAGGATGTGTTTCTGTGGCTAGTTTCCTCTTACAGCTAAATTAGAAGGGCCTTATGGGTGATGTTTTGTATAAAAATGATGACGGTGATATACAAACCCAATTTTTCTGCCTTCTAATTGCACGAAACTCCAATTAAAGTCATTGGGAAGTCTGCTCAATTACAGTTTCCTTTGGATCCGCTGCAGGCATGGGGGTTGTTTATGCAGCCTGACGTGCAGGTTTAGAGCCTGGTGAAAAGGCTGTGTACAGAGCATGGGGGTTACAGCCACCACGGGTGGGTTTTATGTTACCTTATTAGCAGTGTGTGTTACATGACAACTAGATGCTGAATTCAGCTCGTGAACTTGCCCACTACTAATGGTCTGTTTCTTGGAGTCATCAGGGACAAAGTGAGGCTTCAGAGAGCATTTAAGGTACTGAGGTGGGACTTGGAATATTCTCCATATGGAAGAGATTATGGAAAAAAGTTGCGCTCATTTACAGCTTAGGCGGGAATCTGCGGTCAGGATGAGTGGAGGGAGGTGACAGTGTACACGAGAGGCACGGCAGGGCAGAACACCTACGGGATCTCCGGGGAAGAGATGGAGTATAATGCACCAAGAAAGAGGGATGTGAAGAAGGAAGTGGCATGTTATATTTGAAGGAAGCTCATTTCTGGGGATGGAGGGGGCCAGGCAGAAACTGAGAATATTCATTTATCTTGATTAAAGGTAGCATGGCCGAGTTGTTAAACCTGCAGAAAAAAACCAGCTCTTCCCAAAATTTCTGTCTTTATGAAGGCTGTGTATATGAAGAGATCACACATAATCCACTAGAATTTAAAACTAAAAACTATGAGCTTTAATCCTATCTGTTCTGTATGTGGACTTTGGCCAGAAGGAGTGGATTTTCAAACTAGGTATCTTGGTTCAAGTTCAGTTTCTGGTTTAGCAGCTACACATCCAGTTAACTTGAGTGGGAATTGTATGCCCTTGCCCCAGGAAGGAGTTTGGTCTGTTTTTTTCAGCAGACATCAATTGCTTTTGTACAGCATTCCCCTACTTTTACCCAATGTAGTTCTTCTAACTTTACAGGAACATGATGTACATTTATACAGGGTGAACCAGATACACTAGCCTTGAAATTTCAATTGTTCTCCTGGTTTTGAAACACAGCATTTAAACATCCTCGTATATCAAAAGAGCTAAAAATTATTATGACTTTTCATATGACAGATATTTCAGGGAGCGGGTTAGATGTCTCTTTGTAACTTCCACTTTTTTTTCTCGTCTTCTTGGTTTCAAAAAGCAAGTTATTCTGTGCTACTTTCACTACATTAGTCCAACAACTGTTAAAAAGCTTTGGTTGAATTTCTGTTTAGTTGAGAGAGAAGTACAAATAAAAGAAGCAGCAGATGGTCCCTTTGTGACTGAATGAAGAAAAAGGGTTTTGAGAACAATATGTGAATAGGTGTAGTCTAATAAAACAGTCAGCCACCTGCTGCCTACATCCTTCAAAAAGATTCTGTTGCATATTCTGGGAATTAACGACTTGTGTGTGTCCTTACATTTAATCTAAATGGAAGCTCTAAGGAGCAAACAGACCTTTTTGCCCCAGTGCTGATTGAGTCGTTCTCTTGGTTTTGAATTGGTTTTGATCTGTCCCTTTTAGTTCCATCCTGTGACTGTTTAATAGCTAACAACGATTTGGCAGTATTTCATTTCTCAAACCAAAGAAAGACTTTAAAACTTAGAAAGCACATACACATTTTTTCCTATTTTAAGTTTGATAACCTAAAGTACACCTGGAAAAGAAGTATTCTACCATTTCACAGTACACACTGTTTGTTTTTTTTTAATGCACCCAACCTGTTGCTTGGTTTCCGCACATTGTAATGTACTTGCTTTCTCCTCTAGGGATTTACTCTTCAGCCTGATTATCAGAATATCATCAATCCAACATCAACAGCTGCACAAGTTGTTACCCAAGCAATGGAGTATGTTCGTTCAGGGTGCAGAAATCCTCCAGCGCAGACTGTGGACTGGAATAATGACTACTGCAGTAATGGGTAAGCAGCCAGTGAATGCCACCTTGTGTTGAGCAACATTCATGACACAAGAATCTGATAAAGAATTTGGAAACGGCTTTGTTGCCTGTTTCCCTACAGTATTTCAGAAGTGCATCTGTGATGGCACTGTATTTATTCAGCAGTTAGACTGTTGTGGGAGAACAGGTTTTCAATACATACATTTATTAGACATTGTTGTCTTATCACAGCATATACACTTTGGTCTTAGAGAACTTCCATTCCTTAGAAAATCAGAACTGAAATCTTAGGGAGAAGGTGTAGGAAAGAAGTGCTAAGATCACTACCTCCTGCTTGAGAGGCAAATGGCATGAACTATTTTCTCCAAGTACTCCATTTCTGAGGAGAGCTTGCTGCCAGTGAAAACAACTAGTTTGGGTCATGAAAACCCACATCAGTGAGATGCAGGGGTGATGCATGGGATACAAGATACGTGGAAGGGAATGGCATGAAGATCACATGACTGTAACCAGAAACAAAACACCATACGTGTAGGAGCTCTGTGCCCCTACCATAAGATTAGTAGCCCCTTCAAACCCTCAACTCCTCTGCAGCATGGTTTTTTTTGAGCCATGTTCCTGTCCTAGGAATTTCCTGGAAACATTTAAGACTCTTGAACAGAAGGTATCTTTTGAGTTTTAAATGATAGATGTTGTGTCTTGTGAACATGCCCACCAGCCTGAGCTCCCCTTGACCTTGGCATGAATCCGCAAGGCAAAGGTAGATAAAAGCTCTTGGTTGCTACCAAAGTGTCAAATCCAGCTCAGACAAATGAACACAAAGCAGAACTAAAGAGCAGTTTCACCCATTACATTTACTCAAACTGAGAATTTCACCTGCATTATTGTTTTAAAGTATTTCTGGAACTCAAACTAGAACTGAACAAAAATCTTTTTCTAGTTACTAGTTCAGAATAACACCTTGACTAGAACCTGCTGACACTGAGGCAGACTTTAACTAGTCTGCACAGCAACATCACTTACCCCCGTACCTATCACTGTTGCCCCATGACTTGCCCACTTGTTCAGCAGAACGGTATCACTTCTGTGCTGTACCACCACAATGTCTTGATCTGTGCTGCAGGCCCTTGTAGGAGCCTACCCAGCCCACAGACTTTTACACCCACTTAAACTGAGCTCTGAATAGTCTGTCCTCCATCAAACAGGCCATAGCCACCTGTGGCTTTGACTCCTGGTCTCGTCTGGAAAAAGCAATGTGACATTATTGCCAGCAGTGCCCTCTAGGTGCCCACTGGGCATAACTTTCCATCAGCAGAAGCTTCCTCTGAGCAGACCCTGTGTAGATATGCCTTTGTGAATCTGTGTGCATGGATTTAACCTACCTCTGCTATAGCATTGGCATAAATTGCCAGTGCAGCGTAGCTCGCTCTGTGCTGCTCCCAGCCTCCAAACCAAGTAAGCTATAAAGCTGTGGAAGAACAGAACTGGTGCCTTGGTTTTGGCAAGGAAGAGGGAGATAGAGAGTAAAGCCTCTCTCCCAGAAAATCTCTGCTGTGTGAACCAAGCCCCATCAGTGATGCTTCTTCTCCTTTAAATGATTTTTTTTTTTCCTGACTTCTACAGACTGTTCCGAATTAGAAACTGGTAAATGACTCCTTTTTGCTCTGAACTGATATGCTTCAGTTGAAGCTGAAACCGAGCAAGAACTGAATGTAAAAGTGTGCTAGACACAGTGCATCGGTGGAAGGTCTCCTGTAGAGCCTGGTCTCCAGTAGAGACTTGGTCTAGTTGGCTCTGCCAGAAGCTTCTGGTGTTTCCTTGCACATGCTTACCTGAACCTGCCAACCTAACTCATTTTGGCTATGTCTGTACTAGTAAATATCATAAACCAGAGATATCAGTGGCTGGCACCCATGTTCATGTAACTAAGCTCTCCTGCCCCCTAAGGAAAGTGGCCACATCATATAGGGTGCTTATGGAGTATCGTTCTGAGACCTGTGCTAAACCCTCAGCTGCACCTATGTGGTTTGTGAGAGAGGGATAGTCAGTGCTACTAACCCACTAGTGCAGGTGATCCCAAAGCAGGGCTTGAACCCATGTCCCAGGCCTGTGTAGTTTAGAGCCAGATGTGGTCTCCGGGTTGCTACATGCCACTATGGTACTAGGATTTTTCTTATTATTACCATGGTAATGCAGCTGTACTTCAGTGATATGCTTGGAATTAATGACGTGCAGTAGGGTTGTGGGGGTTTTTTCGGAAGAATAGGACTAAAAATTTGACAAATTTAAAAAAAAATCACATTTGTTCTTTTTCTCTTTGAACAGGGGCATGCAGAGGGACAAAGCACTCTACCTTACCTGAAAATCTGAAACACCTCTCCTTTCCACTGAGGAATGCAGGGAAGTCTTTTCATCATGGATTGCTTTATGCAGTCAAGGCAGTTCTGCATTTTATTAGGAAATACAAGTTGCTAAGCACTTAGGACTATTTGAGCTTGTGGGTCACCCACTCTGGAAAAAATAGTCTTGCTTCTTCCCCCCCCCCCCCATTTTTTCTCTTTCTTTCTTCTTTCCACCCCTACCCTGAGATCCTTTAACGGACATTGCTTTTCTTCTTCCCTGAAGGAAACTTGGACCATTCAGATTTTATGTTGGTTTTTGCTGTGAAGTGCTGCGATAGTAACTGCCTTAGCAACTGTAGATGTCTCGGAAAAAAGTCCTGGATTTTCCATTGGTTTTTCATAATGGGTGTTTATATGAAACTACTAAAGACTTTTTAAATGGCTTGATGTAGCAGTCATAGCAAGTTTGTAAATAGCATCTATGTTACACTCTCCTAGAGTATAAAATGTGAATGTTTTTGTAGCTAATTGTAATTGAAACTGGCTCATTCCAGTTTATTGATTTCACAATAAGGGTTAAATTGGCAAACATTCATATTTTTACTTCATTTTTAAACAACTGACTAATAGTTCTATATTTTCAAAGTATTTGGAGAAAAAAAGTAAAATATTCCCAAATGATATTAATTAAAAATATTGGCTTTGTGTCATGAAATAAACACAAAAAACTAATGTTGATAAAGAGCAAACACATTTATTTTGTACTGCCTAAAAAATGCTTCTTTTTTTTAAAGAAAATCACTTTATGTGTACTGGTTAGTAAACGTCATTTAAGTCCTTTTATGTATAAAACTGCCAAATGCTTACCTGATATTTTATTAGATGCAGAAACAGATTGGAGACAGCTAAATTATAACCTTTACATATGGCTATGTATTATTGTTTCTTCATACTGTGTCTGTATTTAATCTTTTTTATGGAACCTGTTGCGCCTATTTATGAAATAATAAATATAGGTGTTTGTAAGTAAATTTGTTAGCATTTTAAAGAGGTTTCTTTGACGCTTTAACTTTTGCTGGCACAAATTGTTCACAATTGATGTGAATACTTTATTTAGTTTTTACAGTGACATATATAACACCAAACCTGCTTTACTGGCAGAAAATGAAGGTAACCAATACTTATTTCTGTATTTCTTTGGTTGTTAAGGAAAAAAACCAGGTATTTTAAGTAATTCCCTTTTTAAAGCATTGTAGCAGGAAGTTGCCCAAAACTAAGACTTGAACCAACAAAACTAGCTGAATAAAACTGCATAATGCTGCTTCTTGAAAATTCATCAGTTTTGGTTAATTAGTCAAGTGGAATAAAAATATTACCAACAGAAATGTTACCAAATATGCTTCAGCCATTTTATTATACATGCAGAAGGTCCTACAGAGTTTTAGGGACTGTATCACACGTACATCCTGAAGTGAAAGGTAAGTTCAACAGCCACAGGGAAAGGGATAAAAAAAATCCAAAAGAAGGTATTTTGTCAATGTTTTGGATCAGGGATAGCTCTGAAAATATATTTCTGGAGGATTTCATCCGAGATGCCTGTCCAATTAATGGAGAGTACCACTGATTTGTATTTCCTCTGTGAAATAAAGAAAGCAACTCGGATAAAATACACATTATGCAATGCCATTGTTTTTTCTTCAAAAACAAAACAGAAACAGAGGTATGCTTGCTTTGGAATGATTTCAGGCAATGTACAATCGGAATCACTTGGTATGTAATAACTAATAAATAATGCAGATCAGATAAGATTACTCAAATGACTGTAGCTGAGAGCTCTAATTTTCCTGTCTTGAAACTGTATGAGAACTCGTGATTAAATTCACAGTTTATTGTTTGTCTGTTTAGTACTTTAGAAATATACCAGCACTACTAATTACCCAATGTCTTCTATTTATTATATTATAGTAAACTACATTTTCCACTGATATTAATTCTAAAGCGAGAAGATAATTACCGGGGATGTGAAAAATCAGCTTTGATTGTGACAGGCAGTTTTCCTTTTTCTTTTACGGAAAAGAACTGTGTTATCTCCATTTCTTTTAGAGCAGGTGCGCAGTCACATAAAGTTGTTAATTTTGGTATCCAAGCAGAGTTCAAAATACAAGAAAACTTTAATGTAAATAAAAAAAATACATCATGAATAAAATACTTATTCTGTATGAACCTCTGGCTAGTTGGTGTCTCTTCGTCTGTAAGAAGGGAAACCTGCAGTGTGTTTACCGTGTAGCACCTTACCCGTCCAGTGGTTTGAGTGTGGCTTTGTGTCTGGGCTCTGTCTGGATGGGACAGTTATGCTGGAAGAACAGCAGTTTTGGCCAGGGTTACACTGAAGCCACTTTGTTCCAAAGGAAAGATCCAACTTCGATGCATAAATGTCAGTTCTTCATGTCTGACCTTGGGAAAAAGCAATGGTTGCTGGTCAAGGGCAATCTGCTATTTGTTTTCAGCTGCATATTCACAGATACAAATTGTCAATAGATGGAGCCTAAAAGGTTGAGATCCTTTTCTACGCAGGTGAAACTCCGCTGGAGTTCATGAAGGTATGCCCCATCCTTCGCTGAAACGCTGTGGCTTAGGCACCACAGTAACACATATACCCAAGTCACTGGTTGTAAGTCACTATCTGTCATAACGATGATAATGAGAAAGCACACAGGAACGAAACAACCTACACATTGAAGCAACACAGTAACAGCAAGTAAATATGAGAAAGACATCTGTCAAAGCAATAGAAACCAAGGGAAATAATGTCTTCCATTAATTGAAATTAATATTTTTTAAAATGATTTTTAAAAAATGGTAGGAAAAATGCAATATTAGCAACATAGGCACTCAGGAAGATGTAAATCCCCTTTGCTTGCACCAAGGTAAGCAGAGGTTTTGAAAAGGAAAGGCTCTTCAAATTTACGGCTGCTCTCCAAGTGCCCTGTTCCGGCAACATGAATCCTGGCCTTTCCATCACCAAACTCACAGAGGTTCGAGCTGCTGCCTCCAACCCAAAGAAGCTCTTCAAAGAGACCTGCTATAGGATTTTTCCCCCCACATTCATCCACAGGCAGTAAGTAATGTATTCATGGAGGGCCCCAGCCATTCACAACGAAACCTAATGTATTCATGCCCACTTCTCTCTTTCTCTCTCTCTCTCACCAAATACCAGTTGCTGATTCCAGTGGTGTCTCTGCCAAATATTCCCTGCGAGGCTCCTCTGTAAACAGGAAACCCAACAATAAAAGAGCTCATTACTGGAAGGTAAAACATGCTCTTACCACCTTCCTCAACCTTCTGAGACTTCAGCTCAACCTGAACTACCATCTCCAAGACTGTATCTGACTATTTCTTTCCTGATCCTGTAAACATGGCAGATCCACTGAGATCTCTTTCTGTGCTCTGGGGAAATGGAGTAGGTAAAAATTCTTATTTTGCACACACTGTGAGGCGTAGCTAAAGAGCTGTATGTAACCCATACAGGAGTTACTCCCCAGAACTCCCATTGATATGTAGGTATAGGTACAGATACAGATATATATATATATATATAAAGATATAG